ATCAAAATGCAAACAAGACCTAAACCAAGCATAGAGAACAAAGAAGTCATGCTTCCCTCTAAACCCAACCAAACCGGCCACGTCCTCCTCTTTGCTTCAAATCACCACCCTAATTGGCTCCTCATGATTCCTCGAAGGAACCGGAAAAAGTAATATTTTGAGGAAATAATAGGTATCCCAACATCTCAATCACGCATAATCTTTCCATAGGGTTGAAAAGCATCTCCCTCCACCGTTTGAAACCCAACACCTCTAAAGTCTAAGGGTCTTAAAGGGTTGTAATGTATTGGCAATGGGTAAGGTAGGTGAAAACAATTTAAAATGTGGGGTTAATTCCTAAATGAAGCGCAAGAATCACAATTCTCAAAAACAAAAGTTCAAAAGATGTAATTCATATTCCACAATCTCATTGATTCATATTCTTACACATCCCAAATTATCCATATAATACACACTCAAATGACCTTTTTCAAACTTCAAAACTTTATTTATGTGTCCTTGCCTTTTTCACAATTCAGACGGCTTTTCTCTTCTTCTTTTTTTCTTTTTAAATTCTTTTTCTCTTTTTTTTTCCTTTTTTTTTTCTTTTTTAGCAAAATGACTTTCACATTACATATTTACAATTAGGCTCACTTTCACACTTGCTCAAACCAACTATCAGTCATTATTTCTTGATTAGTAAACAATAAGCTCAACAAACCTATCTAGGTAAACGCTTCACAACTAAGGGTTGGTAAAACATTGGCCATCGGGTTTGTAACACGGTTAACCAAGAATGGAATTAAAGCTCAACATGGTTAGTAAGTAAGATGATGTAAAAAGAAAATCAATTTGTAACAAAATAAAAGGAACAAAATAAGAAAAATGAAAAAGGTGCCCTCTTCCTCCCTAAAAGGTGTCAAGTCGGTCTCGGGAGCTACTAGTCAACACAAAGATTGAAAAATGCGTAATCAAGGATCCAAATATGCCACTCAACAAGAATGATGAAAGCTAGAACAAATAAACCTCACGGGATCTAACAAATAAAGAAACTACCAATCAAGGGGATCAAATCCACAACCGAGAAGCGACTCCATCTTACCACAGTCCAAAGGCCTATAGTTTCACATGAAAAAAGTGTTCTATCCACCTACCCTTCGCCTAGACTCGTCTACATTGATCAACAATAGACTCAAACTGTGTATTCATCACTGGCTTAAGTGGAAATAGACATTCCATACACATTTATTCACATTTCGAATCCAAATATGAGCATAATTCCAAAATTTTATGCAATTAGACAAGTTTATCATGATCCAACAATATAGGAAAAGACTATGAGGCAACTCATATAAGCTAAACTACGCATCCTCATAACAGAAGCTTTTCCTATCTATCACACACATATGTACAACTAAGCTAACTAAATAAGTTGAAAGGCACATAACGAGGCATAAAAATCACATAAAATCCCAATCGACAAACAAGTGATCGATTGATATCAACATCAACGATCCCAGGTTCCTTAGAACCGATCAAACATCCTCGAACCATTCAACTTCTTCCTAAACTAAGCTATCCTAAGCACACAAAAAAGGGAAAAGATCTCACCAAATTTGCTTCCCGGGAGCTCCAATTAACGGCCATAGTATCATTCTTCAAACTCATGCCGCTTCTCGAATGTTCCCAATCTGCAAAAAGGAAAGACATACTAGCAAACAAGTTAAGGTTAGTCTAGGAAAGCAGTAAATATTTTTGTAATTTTTTCTTTTTGTATTTTTTTGTATTTTTTTTTCGAAAGCAAATAAAAACTAAACTACCAAAAATCCAAATCCCTAAATACAAGTAAGACCCCCCCCCCCCAAGCTAGAATCAAACATTGTCCTCAATGTTTACACATCAAGGACTTACAATAGTAAGGAGAAGGAGGTAACTAAAGGGAAAGGGAAAGGGATCACGAGCTAGGCCTGCCCGGGCCATAAGGGAAACGGGAGGCCATATCATCAACACTCCTCCTCAGGTCTCTGAAGGCGGAGGTCATATCCTCGTTCGACCGACGCAAACCCGCTACCTCGAGCCTCAAATCATCCATTCCTTGGCGGAGCCAACCGAAGTCTTGCGTCGGGATCTGCTTGGCCGCATCCGGCCACCCTCCTCGTCATCATCATCATCATCAGCATCATCACCTCCTTGGCCCCCGTGGGCCTGCTCATCCCCCTGGTGAGGCTGGGGACTACAGTCTACATACTCCGTGCTCCCTTCCTCGTGCCAGGTGAAGTCGGGGTCGAAGATCCAGTTGTCCTTGTTGTAAACCACCGTCCTCCCCGGATCGGGCAAGTAGGCGTATGGCTTGCCTGTGACAAGCCACAAATAGCAATCCGGCTGGGATGTCCTTTCAAGCCACTGCATGGCTCTCAGGGTGCGCATATCAAGCCTCGTAGTGCCTGGGATAGCCTGCAAGTCAGGAAAATCAATCCCATTATATTGTGCAAGAATGGTGATCATGCCACCGATAGTAATATCACCCCTACCCCGGGCTACACCGTCGAGGTGGTCTACTAACCACGCTCCCATGTCTAGACGCCCGTCCCCACGAGTGAGGTGCCAAATAAACTGTAGCTCCCTAATGGAGACTACACCCGAACTATCTCCTCTAGCAAAGATAGTAGAGGAGAAGGTCTTGTGGGACAACCAAAAGGCGGGATTGACGATGGAAGTCGCCTTATCCCTACGGGGATCTTTATCCATCTTCCCCGTGATTTGCCGCCAAAACAACTCGGAGTTATAATGTTTTGAGTGGCCATCCTTAGGACTATATTTCAGGTCGGATGTCCACCCAAAGGCGGCATTAACTTGGGCCACTGATAAGCCGTCTTATCAAGGGTTGAGAGAAGAGTTTTAGGGTGTGTTTTGATGTTGTGCATGAGTTTTTAATAGCTTTTGTGAGTTTCGGGCGGTGATCTCACTTGTGTGCAAAAGCCGGGATTTATAGGTGTTAGTGAGTGAGTTCGGGAACTAATGAGGAGGATTATAGAGTATGGACCTTAGCTCGTGATTTGAGAAGCGTGATGGAGCTTGGAAGAGCAAGGGAGAAAGCTTGAGTAAAGGTGAAGCAAAGCTAGAAGAAAGAGCAAAGAAGACAGCAGAACCGCTGCCAGGGCCGCTGGCAGCGGGTCAGCCAGAGAGGACGAAGTGTTTTGCTGCTTTAGCCGCTGCCAGCGGGTCCCGAGTAGCTGGCAGCGGGTCTTCCAGATTTCGGGGCCTGTTTTGGTTATTTTTCAGTAGTTTGCTTTGTCTTGGCTCGTGTTTTGTATTTATTTATTAGTTTTATTATTGTTTTATGTTATCTTAAGTATGGAAACATATATATAGTCTATTTTTATGAAGAGTTAGAAGAGGTTAATTAGAGAGAATTAAGTTAGAGAGAAGAAAAAGTTTTCTAGGGTTCTTGGCAAATTTCAGAAATCTTTGTTTTTGAATTAGAATCCATGGAAGCTTAATCTTCCGGATTCTTGGTTAAAGATTGAAGCTTTTGGCTACGAATTGTGAGATTTCTCTTCTCTTTATTATCTATTGAATGTTTATTATTCCTTTGAATTATTTCATGATTTGCTTTAATCAATTGCTAGGTTAGAATTGTTAGATTCGCTTGCATCTAATTAATCTTTCCAAAGTAGCAACTTTGGGTTATGAATGCATGCTTTTGATTGATAACTTAAAGAGGGAATAATATTATTGAAGAAATTAGACCGCTTGTGTTAATTTATTCAATCCTTGTTGATTTCTCCGTTTATGTTCTTCTTGTGGATGATTTAGAGCGCTTGTCTTAAATTATACATTAGAAAGGGTTAGAAAGGAGCGCTTTGCTATTTCTAACTAGCTTATGAGAATTTAGAATTTAGAATTCTACAACAAGGTGTTCAATAGTGTTTGATTGAAGAGGCTTCTATGATCAATTTGTATGTTCAATTGTGGATTTCGCATAACCAAGACCGTTATTCTCATTGATTGCATACTATTTACGTTCATTGTTCAGATTTAGTTTAATTGTCACCATTGCTTGTCAAAACCCCCTTGTTACTTAGATTACTACGTTCCTAGAGTAATTCCACTTAGGTTTGCAGTTATTAGTCCCTTTTTCCCTGTGGATTCGAACTCGACTCCCCTAACTACGTTTATTTGCAGTTAGCTTAGTTGTGATATTTTTGGTTGCATACGACTGAGGCACACCAAATTTTGGCGCCGTTGCCGGGGAACTAAGGCGTTACTTTTTAATTGTTTATCTTAGTAGAATTTATTTTAGGACTGTTCTTAGCTATCTTTCTTTGTTTGTTCGCTAGGGTATGATAAGTACCCGTTCTGCTAACAAAGAAGTTTTGCAGTTTGATCCAGAAATTGAAAGGAATATTTCCAGGTTGCGGAAAGAGGCAAGAACAACCCCCAGTGAATCAACATACTCCTTCAATATTCAAGAAGAAGAGGAGATGGCTGACAATCGAACTCTAAGGGAACTCACAGCTCCCAACTTGAACCAACAACCGTTGTGCATTGCATACCAGCAGTTGGAGGAAGGTACTAATGTTGAGATCAAATCCGGTCTAATTCATCTATTGCCGGCATTCCATGGCATGAAAGGCGAAGATCCGAATAAACATCTGGCAGAATTTCATGTGGTTTGCACTAGCATGAAACCGATTGGGATGACTGATGAACAAATTCAGTTGAGAGCATTTCCTTTTTCTCTCAAAGATGCAGCAAAGGATTGGTTTTACTATCTTCCCCCAGGTAGCATAACAACTTGGGCAGATTTAAAGAAGTGTTTCCTTGAGAAGTACTACCCAGCCACTATTTCTGCAAGCCTTAAGAAAGCTATCATCAATGTGGATCAGAAGGAAGATGAATCCTTGTATGAGTATTGGGAGAGATTTAAGAGATTGTGTGCTAGTTGTCCTTACCATGGGTATTCCGATCAAGACCTCATCCTATACTTCTATGGAGGTCTAACTGATGATGACTTGAGGATGGTGAATGCAGCAAGTGGTGGAGGGCTAGTGAATAAGACTCCAGGAGATGCAACTAGGTTGATTGCAGAGCTAGCAGAAAATTCTAGGCAATTCAGTCAGAGAACTCCCACGCGCCGGGTGAATTTAGCAAATTCGAATACAACTGAGTTAGAGAGTCAAGTAGCTGATTTGACTTCTATGATGCGTGAGTTCATGGTGAACTCAAGGAATCCACAGCAACTGAATGCTTGTGGTTTATGCACCTCCATGGGACATCCCACTGATGCATGTCCTCAATTACAAGAGGAGCAGAATGAGCAGGCCAATGCAATGGGTTTCCAAGGGCAAGGTCCTCAGAGAAGATATGATCCATATTCAAATACATACAATCCAGGATGGAGGGATCATCCAAATTTGAGATATGGGAATTCCCAGGGGAACCAACAACAACAGCAAAATGCTCAAGGCCAGCAACAGTATCAGCAATATAGGGCACCATTACCCAAACCTCAAGGCCAAAGCTCAAATTCGAATAATATGTCAACTGAAGAAATGATTAGATCATTAACTTCTAATGTTTCTACTATGCAGCAAAATATGGTGCAATTTCAGCAAGAAACCAGATCAAGTATTCAAAACTTAGAGAATCAATTTAGTCAAATCTCTAGTGCAGTAAGCCGACTTGAAGCTAAGGACTCTGGAAAGCTTCCATCTCAAACGGAGCTGAATCCTAAGCAACAGGTCAATGCAATAACATTGAGAAATGGCAAAGAGTTGCAAGAAACTGCAGTTGCAACTAAGAGGGCTAAAGACTTGATTGGAACTGAAGAGCAAGAAGTAGAACATGAAGCTGTGGCGAATCCACCAACTTTTCCCTCTTATGAACCCACACCACCGTTCCCTGAAGCCTTGCAAGATACTCGAAGGTATGAGAAAGACAAGGATATTTATGAGACTTTTAGCAAATGTGAGGTAAATATTCCCCTCTTGAATGTGATTAAAAGTATTCCTCGTTTTGCTAAGTTTATGAAAGAACTGTGTACTATCAAGAGAAAGCATAGGTTGGGAGGAAAAGAGAAGGTAAAGGTGAGTGCTCATGTTTCTGCGGTTTTCCAAAAGAAAATCCCAGAAAAATGTGGTGATCCTGGTATGTTTATTGTTCCTGTTACAATAGGAGACACCACATTGCACCGAGCTATGTTGGACCTAGGTGCATCAATCAATGTCATTCCCTACTCCCTGTTTAAATCTTTAAAACTTGGACCTTTACATGGAACTGGGGTAGTGATTCAGTTAGCGGATAGGTCTAATGTGTATCCTAAGGGGGTGGTGGAAGATGTGTTGGTTAAGGTTGATGGTTTGATTTTTCCTGCTGACTTTTATGTGCTTGACATGGAACATGACAAACAAGAAGTCCCCATCTTGTTAGGAAGACCTTTCTTGAAGACTGCTAAAACAAAAATCGATGTGTCTACCGGTTCCTTGACTATGGAGGTTGATGGGAAAGCAATTGGGTATAACATTTATGATTCCATAAAGTATCCTGTCAACACTCATTCTTTATGTTCTCTTAATGTTGTCGATCCAATGGTGCATGATGTTCCTAACAATGATCGTGGGGATGAGTTCCTCACACCTATAACTAATGTTGTATCTGGTGATTGCTTGGATTTCTCTATGCATACTAATGTGCAGGTGAAGGTGGGGGAATTGAATGAACATTCCAAGCTTCCACCTATACCACCAGGTTAAACAATCGGCCCGTCTGCAATTCCGGGCAAGAAATTGTCCCATTTATACCACAAAGCAAAGAATAGGTTGTGGCATGACAAGATGATTGCTAGGAAGAAGGTTAAAGTCGGTGAAAAAGTACTCCTATATCAATCCCGACTTAGATTATTTCCGGGAAAACTTCGGTCCCATTGGGAGGGCCCTTTTCAAGTGGTGAACGTATATCCGCATGGAGCAGTTGAAATTCAAAGCCTCGAGACTGATAAGGTTTTCAAAGTCAATGGACAAAGGCTCAAACCCTACTTCGAGGGTTTCAAAACCGAGAACGTGGAGAGCATCGATCTCTACGAGCCATCAATGGAGTAGCGAAGTGGGATGAGCCGCGTCGAGCCAACGACGTAAAACAAAGGCGCTAATCGGGAGGCAACCCGATCGAAAACTCTTCCCCATTTCTTTTCGTAGTTTATTTTTTTTTTTTTAATTTTTCTTGTGATGTGAAGAGTGTTTTTGTTGTTTCTATGTAGGTGGAGGCCTCGGGAGCATCTTTTATGCCCGAAACACAGCAAAAACAAGCTGAAACAGAGCCAAAGGGGACATTCCCTGCTGAAGCCGCTGGCAGCTGCTCTGCAGCCGCTACCAGCGGGTCTTCAGGCAGCCCAAAAACCCCAGGCTCTGTCCCAGCCGCTGGTAGCTGCTGCAGAGCCGCTGCCAGCGGCACCCTACCTCAAAAAAAAAAAAAAAAAAAAGGAATCAGTATCAGCCGCTGCCAGCTGCCCCGTACCCGCTGGCAGCGGGTCTTCCAGCCCAGAAAACCCCAAAAACCTGCCAGAGCCGCTGCCAGCGGGCCTCAAGCCGCTACCAGCGGCTCCACCAGCCTCCCCGATATTTTTCCCCCTTATTTCCCCCTTTCCAACTCCTACCTTCATTACTCCTTTCGTAAACCCCAATTCCCACGAACCCTTACTCCTTTTCTCCTCCTTCTCTCTATTCTTTCATCCCCTTACTCCAATTGCACCGATCCCCTACCAATCTCCCTTTCCCAAGTCCTTGCCTTTCATCCACTCCTCAATTCCCATCACAATTACAACCTAGATTTTCCATTTTCTCTTGATTTCAAGTTTGACATTGAGTTGGTTGTGCAGTTGTGCAAGTTGAATTTCTCGTAATTGAAAGTGAAGGTAAAGGTACAAACATACAATTAGAGTCATGGGTGGGGATACCAAGAGGTCTAAGGCATCATCTCCATCAAGACCCCCAAGGGGCAAGAAGCAAGGTGCTTCTTCTAGTCAAGGTGAGGCACCTCCATTGCCTCGAGGGGATGGATTCATGGGTATGCGGTTGAATTCCAAGGAGAAGGGGATATGGACTAAGCTTCAACAACCACGACGAACGGTGCAATGCACCAAGTTTTTTGACTTAGAAGCTTTGCAAGAGCTAGGCATGGAGGAAGTAGTGCGGCTCTTGCTACGGAAAGTGGGTCTGGAGAATTTCATGACCAAATGCGCCCCCACCTATGTCAGGTATACCTATGAATTCCTTTCAACTCTTACTAAAGGACGTGATCAAATATCCTTTAATTTGAATAATAGGAATTATGTTGTGTCTTATGATGATATGCGAATGTCATTTGGTTGGGATGCACCCCCATTGGTGAACCATTGGGGTGATTATAGCACGTACTCGTCCCGAACATTTTGGAGGGCTATAACTTGTTGTGAAGTTGACCCTCATGGTGATCATAGCTTCAAGATCACTCACCCATGCCTTAGACTCGTTCATAGGTTTATTTCGTCCACCATACTATGTCAAGGAGAAGCTACTAAGGTTCCCAAGGCTACATTATCTTATTTGTGGGCGATGACCCCTGAGGGTGTCGGCACCCCCAATTGGGTCGATATTTTTGTAGATAGCTGTGTGAAAGTGCGGTCAAATTCAAGTGGCCACATTAGCATGGGTGGTATGGTCTCCCTGCTCGCTTGTTATTTAAATGTTCCACCCCCCGCAGATCTTGTGCCAGTAGATTCGACGTACCTAACTTATAACATCATGACTCTGGTCAAGATTGGTTTGTTATCGCGTTCCCCCGTCGTCGGTAGTTATTTCTGGCGATATGGGCCACAGGGCCTGAACTATTTGAGAATTCCTCGTCCCGAGGGACGAGCTTTGCCTTATGGCCCTGCCATCACAGACTTTTTCCTTGCACCCGACCTGGATGTTGCCCCCTATTTGGGAGATGCCGAAGTAATAATTGAGAACATGGGAGAGGAGAATCCCGATGTTCATATGGGCGGAGAGTTTGTTGATGAGGAAGGGGGTGAGGATGCTGCTGGAGTGCAGCACGATGATTGGCCTCACTGGAGGGCTGATGTAGATGATAGACTAGAGGAGGTGTGCGATGGGATGCAAGAGCTGCTTGCATATCAGAGAAGCATGAGTCGGTTTTATACCGCTCAATATCCACAGTATGAGCCCCCAACTGAGGCGTTCATGGATCACCTGGCATCCCGTGCTTTGCGTCGTTCCGAGAGGCGTGCTTCTCGGGGTGATGCCGGCTCTTCTGGCTCTGGAGGTCCCTCTCATTGAGATGGTAACGATTTTCTTCCTTTTCCCTTACTTTTGGTTTCATTGTAGTTGTTCTTGCATCGAGGACAATGCCTCATTTAAGTAGGGGGGGAAGCTTTTCATTGCATATTTTTGAAATTTTGTATAGTTATCTTGATTTCATGTTTTGTATAACTATCTTAATTGTGGTTCAATGAAAAAAAAAAATGCAAAAAGAAAAAGAAAAAAGAAAAAAAATTAAAAAAAAAGAAAGAAAAAGAAAAAGAAACCCGCTAAGCCGAAAACCTGAATAGGCGGCTTAGGCAAAAATGGGGGCCCGGTTAGGTTGAAAACCCGAAAGGGCGACCTAAGCAAAAAAGTGGCTAATGAGTGGGTGAGAAAGTGAGATTTGGAAAAAGATGAGAGGCTAGGATGAAAACCCGAAAGGGCTCCTAGGCAAAATGAGAGAAGAGAGAGAAAAATTCGTGAATTTGCGCATCTATTTGCCGGAGTCGGTGTCATAAGGGAGGAGAAATATGGAGGTGTCGGGTAGGTCTCATCTTGATGTTTTCGGGAGATAGTTGAAGTTCGGGAGAAGTGTTGATCATGCTTAGAAAGCTAGAGTTATTTTTCTTGACTTTTGAGTGTGGAAGTGTTTTCTTTTGTGGACTTTTGGTTTAGTTGAGTCTTGTTTGCCCAATTTTATCAAAAGTTTCGTGTGGTAGGATAGTTGAGAATATCTATGCTCTTGGCTATGTGCTTGTTGTTCTAGGTTGGTTTTGGGGGATGAGTTGATTGTAAAAAAAAATGAAAAAGGGAGTTTGTGAAGTGAGAAGGCGGTTAGTTGGTGGTTGCTAGGATGTCTTCTTGAGTTTGAATGCGTAGAGCTTGTTAGGTTCCGCCATCTTCTGTTTTGAACCTTAATGGGGAGATGTGTTCTATTCTCTAAGTTTACTCGAGGGCGAGTAAAGGTTCAAGTATGGGGAATTTGATAAGCCGTCTTATCAAGGGTTGAGAGAAGAGTTTTAGGGTGTGTTTTGATGTTGTGCATGAGTTTTTAATAGCTTTTGTGAGTTTCGGGCGGTGATCTCACTTGTGTGCAAAAGCCGGGATTTATAGGTGTTAGTGAGTGAGTTCGGGAACTAATGAGGAGGATTATAGAGTATGGACCTTAGCTCGTGATTTGAGAAGCGTGATGGAGCTTGGAAGAGCAAGGGAGAAAGCTTGAGTAAAGGTGAAGCAAAGCTAGAAGAAAGAGCAAAGAAGACAGCAGAAGACAGCAGAACCGCTGCCAGGGCCGCTGGCAGCGGGTCAGCCAGAGAGGACGAAGTGTTTTGCTGCTTTAGCCGCTGCCAGCGGGTCCCGAGTAGCTGGCAGCGGGTCTTCCAGATTTCGGGGCCTGTTTTGGTTATTTTTCAGTAGTTTGCTTTGTCTTGGCTCGTGTTTTGTATTTATTTATTAGTTTTATTATTGTTTTATGTTATCTTAAGTATGGAAACATATATATAGTCTATTTTTATGAAGAGTTAGAAGAGGTTAATTAGAGAGAATTAAGTTAGAGAGAAGAAAAAGTTTTCTAGGGTTCTTGGCAAATTTCAGAAATCTTTGTTTTTGAATTAGAATCCATGGAAGCTTAATCTTCCGGATTCTTGGTTAAAGATTGAAGCTTTTGGCTACGAATTGTGAGATTTCTCTTCTCTTTATTATCTATTGAATGTTTATTATTCCTTTGAATTATTTCATGATTTGCTTTAATCAATTGCTAGGTTAGAATTGTTAGATTCGCTTGCATCTAATTAATCTTTCCAAAGTAGCAACTTTGGGTTATGAATGCATGCTTTTGATTGATAACTTAAAGAGGGAATAATATTATTGAAGAAATTAGACCGCTTGTGTTAATTTATTCAATCCTTGTTGATTTCTCCGTTTATGTTCTTCTTGTGGATGATTTAGAGCGCTTGTCTTAAATTATACATTAGAAAGGGTTAGAAAGGAGCGCTTTGCTATTTCTAACTAGCTTATGAGAATTTAGAATTTAGAATTCTACAACAAGGTGTTCAATAGTGTTTGATTGAAGAGGCTTCTATGATCAATTTGTATGTTCAATTGTGGATTTCGCATAACCAAGACCGTTATTCTCATTGATTGCATACTATTTACGTTCATTGTTCAGATTTAGTTTAATTGTCACCATTGCTTGTCAAAACCCCCTTGTTACTTAGATTACTACGTTCCTAGAGTAATTCCACTTAGGTTTGCAGTTATTAGTCCCTTTTTCCCTGTGGATTCGAACTCGACTCCCCTAACTACGTTTATTTGCAGTTAGCTTAGTTGTGATATTTTTGGTTGCATACGACTGAGGCACACCAGCCACCGACATTTGAATGGTGCCCGAGTTCATCAGTTGAAAAGACAAGTACCGGGGTGAGTTATGCTCATCCCGGTGCACATACAATGAAGACAAAAATTCGAGGGTAAGC